AAATTATGAAAAAATACTGGTATCTTGAAATATCTAAATGAATAATCCAAATTACATTTTTCGTGAGCACAACCTCTATACACACCAGTAAAATGACAGTGGTCTCTGACTTTTGTATCTTCTGGTTTAAACTTCTTATTACATATTGAACATACAGTAGCTTTTCTAAATTCTGCTTCTTGTTCATCTGTAATATTTAGTGGTTTATTAACATTCATTCTATCAAAAATATCGTTTTTAATTTCTCTTAATTTATGTACAAAGTGGTCTAAACAATCCTCTCCACGGTATAAAAAAGGTTGGCTTGTATTATCAATAGAATTTACAACATTCAACATATAACCGCATGGTTTATGTTCCTGATACGTGCCCTTGATGCCATTATTTGAATTTTCAGTTATACACTCAAAATCTCCATAAACAACAAATGGACATTTTAATTCTGTATTGCATTTTTTAAATTCAATATAACTACCTTTTTTGGTAATTTAAAATATTGTCCGTGTGTTGCCATACAACCTTTTTCATAATGTTTTGTTAATAATTCCTTTGTAGTAAAAGCATGAGTACAATAGTGACAATAATGTTTTGGTTGGTCATTTTTGTTTGTTTGCCAGTTCATAAGACGACTTATATTTTTAATGACTACATAATGATTATTATTATTGTTTCTAATTTTCAAAAGGTTTATTTGATGTTTAGCATCTCTTGCTTTAGTCCTGTAATCAATTATAATTTTTTTGTCATTCAATATATCATCAATTTCATAAACATTGATTGAAACTAACTTACTATTATTTTCTTCAAACCTTTCAATATCTTTATTACCAGTTGGAAATTTAACGCCTTCCCAGTTCAAAATTTCATCGTTTAATTTGTTGTAATGAAACATTTCTTGAGAATTCGGTTTATTATTTATATTATATACTACTCTTTGAACACTATATTTAAAACATTTGTTATCTTTGTTTTTGATATTAATACATGCCTTTTTTAGTTTAATCCATTCTGGTAAATCTATATAACTACCCGCTCTTGTTGGGTCATATTTGTCATAATGGATGGTTATTGATAATATTTTTTTAAATTGTAAATTAGACGCTGAACCTTCTAGTTTCTCTATGTTCAACAAAATTTCTTTGATTGATTTTTCAATTGCTTCATCCAAATCGGTTTCATTATAAACGTTAGACCTTGTAGCTGGTAAATTATAAACTATCTCTGCATGTCTGATTACTCCTTTATCATCATCATAATAATGATAAAATAAACCTTCTGCCCTTATATTCAATTTCATAGCTCTATTATTTTTCAAGAAGTTCAAAAGTCTATCTTTTTGGTGGTGTATCATTGATAACATCTTATCACCTTGAAAATGTTGATTTTCTAGTTTTATGGAATTAGCATAACCTTTGAATGCAGATTGCTGGTCTGTTATTCTGAATTTGTTTTTTATAGCGTATTTTGTCAAGGCATTTTTCATTCTTTGTTTAAGGTATGTTGAGCGAATTGTTCTTGTAGCATGACTATTATATTCATTGGTGTTTGTTACTGATTTTAATTTATTGTTCAAACCATTCGAGATAGGTTTTTCTTTATTGTATCTAAAATTTCTACCATCTATAGTTATTGATTTGAATTCCTTGCTTCCTCTTTTTGGAATTTCCGCTTTATCATTATTCAACAGATAATCTATAACATGTTTCATAATACTATACTATATAAATTTAATGTGTTTATTTCTTTAAGTGACTTTTTAGAAAAATATACTTAAAGATTTAAAACCTTAATATAATAAGAGGAAAATGACACTGTTTGATTATAGTAAGTGTAAATGTTGCAATAATAAGAATAATGATATTAATCTAACATTGTATAACTTATTACCTGCTAATGTGTGTAATAAAATAAGTGAGTATAATGTATATTGTGACAAATGCTGTATAACTAGAGACCTTGAACACTTTTTTGCTAAAGAACATAAGGATAAGGGATATACAAAATTTCAGCTACAATTGCAATTCTTTATGAGATATCACAAACGATTTCCAGTATATTTTTACCATAAAATTGCTAGAAAGTCATTTGAAAAAGAAATTGATGAGTCTTTTAATAATAAAGAGTTGATTAAAAGGTTTGGAGGGAAAAACTCAATTAAACCATATAAAGCATTTGTTAAACAAAATTCGAGACATGTTTGAAGCGATTGATTGGTATTTATTGAGTAAAGATAAAATAAACGAGGTCTTGAATGAATTTAGAATAACTAAATATCATGTATGGTATTACTATAACACTAAATATCAAGTATGGCTACTAGTTAGTTTGTTTTTCTGGGAATATATTTATTCAATAATAGGAAAAGACAATATCAAAAATATAGACATTTGTGATATTGATAAATATGTAGATTACATATTTGAAGACATATTTCCTGACTATGAATTTAACCCATAATTATTAATCATAATATAATAATAACATGTAAAATCTTATATGTTATAATTATACTATACTTATGGTTTGTTTCTTATTTTTTCTTAATGCCTTAAAAATGACTTAAAGAAATAGTGCCTTAATATAATAAGAGGAAAATGAACGGTGATAAAATCAATCATTATATCAAAAAAATGCTATGATTGTTGTCACTTCAAAAAAGAACATATGGAATTGTATAAATTAAATTTACCTAATGAAATAGTGAATAATATTATTAATTATTCAATGGATGAAGAAGACGAATGTAAAATTTGTCAGGAATGGAGAGATAATCAAGAATTAATCAAATGTCATTTAAAAATGGAAGGAAGAAGTAATGGAAATGTTGAAGATGAAATTTTGATATTCTTAACTGTGTATGAAAGACCACCTTATAGTTATGTTAGAGCATTTCTCAAAATCAGTAAGAAAAAGTATGAACTGATTGACCACATTTTATGGATATTGTTACATCGTAGAAGAGAGGGGTGTGATGTAAAAGAATATATCAAATTATTTATTGAAAGTAAAAAGTTTAATGTTAACAATACAGTGAGATATATTAATATTATTTTTAAAAATATGTATGAAATAAGTAAGATTTGTCAATTAGATTATTATCCTGAACTGAGATTATAATCATAATATAATAATAACATGTAAAATCTTATATGTTATAATTATACCATACTTATGGTTTGTTTCTTAATTTTTCTTAATGCCTTAAAAATGACTTAAAGAAATAGTGCCTTAATATAATAAGAGGAAAATTAAGGGTGATAACATCAATAATTATATCAATAAAAAATGCTATGATTGTTGTCACTTCAAAAAGGAAAATATGGAATTGTATAAATTAAATTTACCTAATGAAATAGTGAATAATATTATTAATTATTCAATGGATGAAGAAGACGAATGTAAAATTTGTCAGGAATGGAGAGATAATCAAGAATTAATCAAATGTCATTTAAAAATGGAAGGAAGAAGTAATGGAAATGTTGAAGATGCAATTTTGATATTCTTAACTGTGTATGAAAGACCACCTTATAGTTATGTTAGAGCATTTCTCAAAATCAGTAAGAAAAAGTATGAACTGATTGACCACATTTTATGGATATTGTTACATCGTAGAAGAGAGGGGTGTGATGTAAAAGAACATATCAAATTATTTATTGAAAGTAAAAAGTTTAATGTTAACAATACAGTGAGATATATTAATATTATTTTTAAAAATATGTATGAAATAAGTAAGATTTGTCAATTAGATTATTATCCTGAACTGAGATTATAATCATAATATAATAATAACATGTAAAATCTTATATGTTATAATTATACCATACTTATGGTTTGTTTCTTAATTTTTCTTAATGCCTTAAAAATGACTTAAAGAAATAGTGCCTTAATATAATAAGAGGAAAATTAAGGGTGATAACATCAATAATTATATCAATAAAAAATGCTATGATTGTTGTCACTTCAAAAAGGAAAATATGGAATTGTATAAATTAAATTTACCTAATGAAATAGTGAATAATATTATTAATTATTCAATGGATGTTGAAGAAGACGAATGTGAAAATTGTGTAAATTGGAGAGATAATCAACCTTTAATCAAATGTCTGTTGGGAATAAAAAAAATACATAATAGAAATGTAGAAGATGAGATTTTAATATTTCTAACTGTAAATAAAATACCACCTTACGATTATTTTAAATAGTTTCTTAAAATCAGTAAGAAAAAATATGAAATGATTGATGATATATTATGGATGTTGGGTTATAGTCAAAAGAAAGGAGAAGATGTTAAAGAAAATATCAAATTATTTATTGAAAGTAAAGAGTTTAATGTTCAAAATACATTGAGAGATATTAATATTATTTTTAAAATGATGTATGAAATAAGTAAGACAAATCAATTAAATTATTATCCTGAACTGAAATTATAATCATACTATAATAATAACATGTAAAATCTTATATGTTATAATTATACTATACTTATGGTTTGTAAAGATTGACCTATTTGAATTTTCCTTAATTTGGTTATCTCTTTCAAAGTGCGTTGTTTTGACATGGTATGCTCTTTTGATTTTTTCGTGCTTTGACTGTTTGTATTTTATTTTGTTTGATACTCTTCTGATATTATTTTTAATGGTATACTGCTTTGAAATGTGTTAGTGTGTGTTTTTGAGTTTGTGTTCTTTGATGTTTTTTTTTTTTGCTGTTTTGTTGGTATGCTTGTTTGAATTGCTTAATGTTGTATGCTTTGATTAAATATTTTGTTGTTGGTTGTTCTGGTTTTTGAGTTGCTTGGTGGTTCTTATCTTGTTTTCTGTGAATTGTGTGTATTTTGTTGTATGCTGTTTGATTTTTTGTGTTTGATGTTACAAATGCCCTTTTGCCTATTTTTTAGGGGAGGGGAAAAAAGGGGGAGGGGAAAAAAGGGGGAGGGGAAAAAAGGGGGAGGGGAAAAAAGGGGGAGAGGGGACTCTCATTGCTTCGCTCTGCCGAGGCACCCATAATTCACCCATCCGTTTTCCAGCGTCAAGGGCCATCCGCCCGAGCCGGGGGCGAACGCGATGTTGCTCAGACTAATCCAGCTATGGGCGCTGCTGCCTGCCAAACGGGCCCCACACTTTCGTTTCAATTGACTTGATACTGCAACCCGAAAGCGTGAAACCGGAAGGAGGAGGTTTTGTATTTTTGTCAACAGTCGTTCAGTCCCATGTTTTAACCCAGCCTTCCATCCATTTGACCTCTCCGTCAGGCAGCACGTCCACCCTCGCCGGGTTGTCCTCATGGTCAACAACTGATGCGCACAGCGGCTAAGCTCCCTTTGTGGCCGTCCACAAATAGGACAGTGCCTTGCAAGTACAACACGAAACCCAAACAAGGGCGAGCCCTCAAACAAATACTTATCTCACCATGTTGATTTTTGGAGTTCCATGCTAATCCGCAGAGTAGGGCCCCGTTTTTCGAGCTATGATGGAATATCAAACCACTTCCAAGAGAAAGCGCAACAAGAGCCGAACCAAGAATGTAGGGGGCTGTGTTTTTCTGGACAAGAATCCCATGAAACGGTCTAGCAGAATAGGGACCCCTGGTAAATGTGTATTTCAGGTTTCCCGAAAAGAGAAAACATCATTCGAAAGGCGGTCCAGTTCCTGGAGACCTATTCTTGTCGTTCGACGTACAGCTCAGTTTGCAACCAGATCTGACGTCCCGAAAAGGGACCTGCCAGGGATCAACACGAGACCCTGCATGAATACAAGCTGGAGTTCCTTGATGTTTAAGTCTGGATTTCTGGTTTGGATTGCCTACCGCAACTGAATCTTGCCGGGCAATGCTTCTTTGGAATGCCAACAGGCTGGGACCAGACCATGTTGTAAGCACCACTTGTTTAAACCTCCTTTTGGTTTCGCTTGGGGGACCTTGGTCCAGGTATTCAAATAAACTTGCTTGGGCAATCAGAACCGAACCGCAATAGTTGGCCCAATCCATGCAACCGGCCCCAACTGTCTTGTCAGCTGCGAAGCCTTCTGCTCAGCAGGTTGATGGGAAGGGCTCAGAGGCTAGGTTTTATGGGTTTAGGGTTTCGGTGTAGGATTTAGGTTTGATTTGTGTTTTGGGTTGGGCTTTGAGTCTTGAGGGTTTGGATTCAGAGTTTTGGGGGTTTGGGAGGGTTTGGCGGGCTCAGGTTTAGGTTTTTTAGTGTGTAGGTTTAGGACTCTTTGACGCAACAAGCGCAATTCCTGCAGAGGGTTCGCTGTTCGCTCCTGACTTTGAGCTTGGTAACCGGGACCCTGGTCGGAGCTGAGCTCTTGATAGCCTCAAAACACAGGCCCTGCGCAGGAACTTGTGCTTTTCCCTCATCCTTTTTGAGGGATGTTGGGGAAGATTGAGGCCGAATAGAAGGAAACCAGTCCCCTTGCCAGAAATACGTGCGGATGCCTGCCCTTCTTGGTTCTTTGCCATAGGTTTTGGGTGTCTCAAAAGATGGATCCCTGGGTTCAGCACCAAAACTGAGTGAACTTCCCCTGCGAGTTCCCTTGCGAATTTCGAAAGAAGGGGAGCCTACTTGGATTTTTGCTTATTCTCTGAAACCACAGGGCTCCAGAAGCCTTGACCCAAGCGTTGCAGCCAATGGCGAGCGAGCCGCGTGGTTGCTGGCGGTGAAGATCAGGCGCCCGTCCGGGCGGCACACCGAGGGCAGCGTGGCCACACGTTGGTTCCAGGCGGCGCCCGCCACCAGCGCCTGTACCGAGCACATGCCATCCCGCAAGCGCACCGTGGCGCCCTCGTATTCGTAGCCAGAATCCTCGGCTTGGACATTCCAGTGAACTCCAGGGATTACCCGGGGAACACACACACACACATGTTCAACTAGAAAGTTAACAGCCATAGATCTTACCCTCTGAAGCTGGCCAGGGTCTAGCTGCTTCAGCAACATTGGGCCAACACCAGTGAATCCAAAAGCACCAGGAATGCGAAACTTGAAAACAACCAACACCAAAGTATGAAAAGGGACCGGGAAGCTTGTAGAAACGCAGGGGCAACATCTGCTGTGCAAACCGGGTCCTGTATTTTGAGCCCTGAATGCCAAGCACTGAAAGGCGACCGACACTCAAACACCAGAATGGCTTGTACCAGAAAACACCTTGCAAGTGAGTCACCTATTCATCGGATTCAATGAAGAGTCAATGTCTTGAAGGACACAGCGGGATGCAACTCCCCAAAAATGAAGGATCTCCTCATCAAGTGGACGGCTTTCTGTCTCAAAATTAGGGACCTATTCATCAACTGGAAAGTTATCAACTGGGTTCCCATCACCAAGTTCAAAAGCCAATCGCTAAATCCAAGAGTCCAGCAGAGGCAGCCAAGGTTGTGCTGACGGCATGACAGCCGGGTACACAAATCCAAGCAGAATTGCTTGAACTGGAATGTCAAGCCACCATTGAGAGGACAGGTGTGGTCTTCCAAAGCGGGTTGAGAGTGCACTATGTTTGTTGATGGCAGGGTACACCCAGTTGCAACCGACCCGAAGATAGAAAAGGGTTGGAACCCTTCTTGGCTGGCTCTCTCTCTCTCTCTCTCTCTCTCTCTCTCTCTCTCTCTCTCTCTCTCTCTCTCTCTCTCTCTCTCTCTCTCTCTCTCTCTCTCTGCGCCATCCCGAAGGTCCAGTAGTTGGGGCGCCGCCGCTTCTCAAAAGCAGCCAACAACCAAACAGAGTATTTTGTGTGGGTCCTGAACCAACCAACAAAAACCGTGAAGGGGCCCTTCTTTGATTCATAAGCAAGGGGAAGGTGCCAAAATAGGAGGCCTGGAGCAATCCTTAATAAAAGCAATGCCGTGACAATCTCCATCCCCTTATCGCTTCTTTTGCGGAAGGTTGAATCAATTTGGCACCCGGAAGGGGTGAGTGGGAGGATATCCGTGTTGATTTTTGGCAAGAGGACTGTCACTTTATCATCTCACCCACGCAGCACATCTGGTCTTCACGTATAGTTGGAAAAACCAAAGCGAGCATGAAAGATGTGGCGAGTCGATCCCAACTGACTAGGGGCAAATTAAAGACACCCCCCAAATCTGGAGTCCCTAAGGGACCGTCCTGGGTTCGCGCTCGTCGGCAAACAATTTGCGTGCAGACCAGTAGAAACACATGGAAGCCATAAAACCATCCTGAAAACAGGGGTGCACGGCGGTTGCCTTTTTGTTTCTCCTTCCCACATTTGTGTGGCTATGAACTTTGCTCGGGAACCCCCCTTGAAAGTGGTTGGACATGAACCCCCACCGAAATGTTTAAAGGAATCCCGACTTTTACACCTCACACCCCGCGTCCGGCGAGTCCCTTGGCTTCCTGGGCTCGCTCCAGCCGCTGCCGATGTTCAAGGCCTGCGAGACTTCGGTCACCGGGATTTGCGCCTCCAGGTGCGTGGAGGACATCGCCTCGGAACAGCCGCCTTTCGGGGATTTTTACTCGCACCGAACGCGATAAATCGAGGTCAAGGACCTCAGAAATTCGTGACCAGGGAACCACGCATAATCCGCACAGCGCACAAGGACACCGATTGGGCCAAAGAAATTCCAAGTGCGAAAGGTGACCAAGTGGAACCACACGTTTTTCTCTGCAGCACAAGCACACGGTTGGGCCTTTTTGGCCTCATGGCGTTGGACACATTTTTTTCGGCCATCCCAAAGCGGCCCGTGCTGGTTTATGTATAGCCGACACTGGGACACGACTACAAAGCTAAGTTCTGTCGCAATCCAACGAAGGATCATGTGGATTGAGTTCAGCCACATGCGCTTCAGTTGCGAGTTGAATCGACTGATTCATTCAGGTGCTTGGTTTGCCCTTAAGTATCCAGAGGGGCCAAGCCCATTTTGACACAGACCCATATGGCCATACGGCTGGTACACGTTTGTCCCCATTGAACTCGGGATTGAGTTGGGTGGCAACAGCGCCATAGAGACACACGCTTGATTCCCCAAATACAAGACAGGATATGAACGGCCAACAAGGAAACTTCAGTAGCTTGTGGTTGGTTTCCCCGCAATGTTTAGGAAATCGATCATATCGCAACTAGTAGGCCAGCCCCACCACATGTGAAAAGGACAAGCCTACGCGGAAAGTGGTAGACTCTCTCATTTACCCAGGTTTGCGCTAGGATCACTTGCTTTATATTGACGGAATCCCATCATGTAAAAGAGCCCCCCCGTCAAAAGTCCATTCAAACGAATTTCTCAGGGAACCCGCATCCCTCCCCCCAGCCATTGAGGCTTGGGTCTTCTCATGTTTCATTTGCTTGAGCCCCCTAACAAGACTCCCTTTGAAGCGCAGGGGGCATGGAAGTCAAGTCCTGAACCCATGGAAGCCATGCTCTTCCTAGGTCCTCCAGAGAGGTTGGAATAAGTTGGTACCCGTTTTTTTCTTCTTCTTTTCTTTTTTGTCTACTTTTTGTAGGGGGTTCCTTTTCCCAACCCAACAAAGTTGGGCGAGAAGGGCACTGGACCTTTCCGCCGGGTGGCGTCGATGGCCTTCTGCTTGGACGCCTGGGACACGAAGGGGATGGCGGAGAGGATGACCCGCAGCTGATCCACGAGGTTCACCAGGTCGATGGTCTTCGTGGGGGAGTCCAAAGGTCCTGCAGACACTCACAAGGGCCTTCCTCCAGAGTCAGAAGAAGTTGGTACCAACCTTTTTCGTTTTGTCCATTTTAGGGGGTTCCCCCTCCCCCCAAAAAGTGGAAAAAGGGCATTACTGGAAGACCTAGTTGCTTCAGGTGATTTGGCCATTGAAAGTCGCCCGGTCGAACACCGACCACGCAGCCCAAACCCAAAGCTCTGAGCCCAGGCTCCGAACTTCATCTGGACCTTGATCTTCATGATGCCCGATCCCAGCAGGCCTCCAGGTTCGCTTGGCACTTGGCATGGACTCAAGCCGTTTTACCTTTCGGTGGAGTGAGGTGGGGGGAAACAGCCAAAGAAAAAAACAAAAAACATTCACGCCAAAAGTTCACGGACACACCACGTCAAGAAACACAGCCGTAAGTACGGCAACTTTTTTGTGACATCGTCATTGGACATCGTCATTTGTGCCTCCATTCTTGGAGACTGGGCATCCTTGTTGGGTGCTGAAAAGAGTTCTGAACACCTCAGCCAAATTTCTCCCAATGTGGTTTCCTTTAGAAAAAGATGGTTGCTATCTAGCACCCTGCTTGTTAAACAAAATGCCAATTGTTTCGCCCAGACTTTTTGATTGCCAATAAAATGGTCTGTTTAAACAGAAAACAAGTCGAGCACCTCTTGTGGCAGTGTGGATACATGCATATATGTATATATATATACACATACATACATGTATGTGTTGGATTGTTGTGGCCTGGGTTGCGACCAAAGGTATAGTCCAGGAACTCAAAGAGTGAGTAGCTTCCAAAAGAAGTGCGAAACCAACTTCCATTCTTCTTGGTTTGCTGGGAAAACCCCAAATAAGACGGACACTACAAATAGAAAGCCAGGGAAAGAAGCCACAGAACAACTTCCATTTGGTTCAAACCCCTGGAAAAAAATGAGAAAATAATTCCAGTGGTGATCAATTCCTTTTAGACCAACAAGGGAAACAAAAAAACCTTTTCAGCAAATGGAAGCCAAAAAAAAACACGGACAGTGGGCTCGGTTCGGCTTGGTCGTCGCCATGAGGCCCGGCCTTTGACGCTGAAGCCCACCAAGGCCCCCGAAGGGCTGCCCAGCTCGAAGAGCTCGTGGTTGCCCAGCCCTTGCGTGGAGTCCTGACACTAGATTCCTGGGAATCTTGACTCCCGAATCCAAAAGTTCGTTGGAGCGCATTGAAGAGCTGCGCGCAAATGCGCGGACACAACAAAACTGCTCCGCTTTAGGAGGCCAGGAAAGAGGGCGAACATGAGTCAAAAGTACCGTAGGTACCAGCAAATGCTCTTGGCGCGTTGTTTCTCTTTTTGGTTGGGGGGTGGGGGGGGGTTGTTATCATATATCGCGCACGCACTCATATCTACATGTATACACATATTACAATATATACTGGGCTGCCCTCAGATCCCCCGCTAAAAGTTTAACTTTTCGTGGTTTAAATGGAAACCACTAAACACTAAACTAAAAAGCTAAGGAACCGGGCTGGGAGCCACCAAGAATATATTCACATTCCCCGGCCTCTTCCTCGGCCTCGTCCTCTGCCTCTTCCACCTCTTCGGCCTGCAGGGCGCCCAGTGCAGCGCGCACGGGCTCCACCGCATCGTGGCCCGTGAGGTTCGAGGTGATACGCACCCCGGTCCTCGGATCGAGGGGTCATAGGTGTCGTTCTAGGTTGGAAATAGATGGCTCTCCCTGGTAGAGAAAAAACCACCAGGCAAACCAGGACTCGAAACCCCTCCATTTTTCGAGCAAAACCACCGAAAAGGAGACCTATGGTGTCCATTTGCACTTTGGTCACTTCAAAAACATCGTGACATTCCAGTGATAGATTCCCTTTGAAATTAGAGTCTTAACAAACAACAAGTCAAGTATTCTGAAGCAAATGGAAGATAAGGAGACAAGGAAACGATTCAGATCGGCAACCTTCGGGCGATGTTCAATACCCTCAAGGGGTGGTTTTGCTTGCGAATCACTCTCCCGTTGCGAGTGTTTGGCCCTCAAGCGGGCCAACAACATGAACAAAGTTGCTATTGATAAGTAATTCAAGGCCTTGTACTGATATGCAAACCGCAAAATGGATGGCCTCCTTGTTTCCCGTCTTTGGCCTAGGTTGGGCCCCAAGAATTGCTTGACGCCAGCTTGTCCAGGGCCTTACGAATATGGCGCAAGGCGACACGACCTGATTCCAGGCTCTTCGGTTCCACGACTTGGATCTAGGGAACGCCCGGACGGAAAAAATGGGAGGGAAAGGCTAAAGGAAGAACCACTTGCGTACCAGGCCAAAGCTTCCTTTTTGAACTCGAGAAACAGCAAATCGCCAAAATGAAATGACCTCTTGGCTTGACTGGAGTGGGAACCTAAGGTGAGAAACCTGTTGACAGTCGGGTTTCTGGCTGTGCAATAGGCGTACCTCAAGCGTAGAGTGTTTATAGGTTTGTCTAATGGGACATTTCTTGAATGGGTGGTTTCCCTTTCGTGTCCTTTTAACACATCCAGAAAACAGAATCCTCCCAAAACACCATACATTGTCATATCTGTACGTATATATATATATATATATATATGTTTTTCTACGAGATACGGACAAAACATAGTGTCCCCAAAAAGGACATGGACAATTTGTCGCCTCTTTGGTGGGAATTTGGGTGGCCCCCCAAACCAACATATAGACCCGTAATAGCGTCGCTTGCTCATGTATCTTAGACATGAATATTATATTTCTGCGTATGTATATATCTATGTATTATATATCTATATTTAAGCATATGCATGCCTTTCTTTCGAAAACACACCCCAGGGGTTTGCACTACCCCCAAACCATCATGCTTCCCAACGGAACAAACCACAAAGGCTACACTCAATGATCAGGACTGCGCTTCCCCAATACTTTCCAGGGACACCAATTGGGGGCCCTATGCAAGCGACCAGTTTAAACCTAACCTATGGGCTGATCTCAAAATATGAGCGCCCCAAATGCATGGCGTTCCTTTAAATAACAATCTCAAAGGGTTGCCACAGGAACTGCGCCCAGTCCGAACTGCTACTTGGGTTTCGAAACATGAGGAACCCCCCCACCCCCCAAAAGGGAAGCCGTAGGAACGAACTGAAAGGTCCCCTGCGTTGGGCCAACCCTCGTCCAAGGCTCTTGTCATACCTCGCCGAGGCCAAATAGAGCTCCTCGGACTCCGGCTCAAAGCTAAACTCGTCGTCGGTGTCTGGCCTGGCAGGACCAAATCTGCATCGGCACCCCCGAAACAGCCCCGCTTCTGGGACTTGGCACCCATTTCTACGAGGCTCCTTTTTGGGCCCTTTTTTTGGCATACGAGGAAACCGGCACTTTACAGGAGCCCATTCTTCCAATGGTGTTAAAACATCGACCGACTGCACCCCCATGCTGTTGACTGAAATGGCGGAAACAGAGTTGGAACCATTTCTGATTTGCCTGGTTGATTCTAGCCCGTGTTAGCGGGAACCCACCAAACAAAAAGGGAGAAAGGGTGCCACTGAATTGCCGTGCCTCTTTTTGGGGGAATGGAGGTTGAAGATGATTCAACTCTCACTAAACAAAGGCAACAACAGTATGAAGTTCGGTTCTGGAGCGGGTTCTCTCTCCAAATCTTGGAATCTAAGTGGTTCTGGCCATCCTTCCCCGCTCAATCCTAAAAGGGATTTCCCTAAGAAACACCTCCGCCGAGGCGCTTCGAAGCGCTTGCGCCGGCCGCGCCGGCCGCGGTGCTGGCGTTCAACTGGGCCAAAACGGAGCGGGACATGCCCTGCAAGGCCTTGTCGTCGTCGGTGGCTTGACCTGAGAGCTGAATGCCACACAGTGGTCGAAACTGCATTTTTGTTTAAGCATTTTGTCCGGGTTTTGTGGGAAAACTGAGTGAGCCACCCGTATCCCTAAAGTTGTCTTTTAATAGGGCTGGCTGCATTTCCCGTAACTTGGGGTGATTCCATCTCCAATTCGTTTGCTTGAGGGATGTAGGGATCCTCCCTTAGGCAATTCAAGCTCTGAGGGGCCAAAGGGGTCTCCCTTTAAACAACAACTGGTCGTTTCACCTCGTATGGCTCCGCTAAAGCTCTCCCTTCTGACAGGACAAAACTCTCATACCCAAAAGGGTGCTTGTCAAACGGGAACGCTCGTCACATGAGCACTGCCTCCCCCACCCCAAAGTCTTGGCGGAGCGTCCCTTGGCTGCACTGTGAACATGTCCTCTTGCGTTTGCATGCCAAATAGCAGTTCAAAATCCGGCGATCGAACAAGTTCACTCATTGGGAAGCAAACCGGATTCAACAACGACCAAAGACAAAATGCAACTGAAATGGTTCGTGACAGGCACCCTTGCCGAAGTAGTTTCTCGCCCGCTCCACGGCATCCTTGATGTTGCCGTTTTCGAAGTTGGTGTTGGAACCAAAGCGCTTGTGCAGCCGAATGGTGTGCTTGAACAGGACGATCCCCGCCGTGCGCATCGTGGTGACCTCGAGGCTCAATCCCCCGCGCGGCGTTGCTGTTTCGGGCGTGCCTTTTTGTAGGGAACCCCCCTCCACAATCGGCTTAAACGGCTTAAATAGCAGCCACGACACAAGCACGATCTGACAAGGCCTGAAATGAAGCTCTGATCAAGACATAGCTCGATCCCCAAAGCATCCGTGAGCCAAGGTCAACAATGACATATGCGGCTACCGTGTAGGACATGAGCAACCCGAAACCCATATTTGCCGCAATTGAACTTCGCATGGCGCATGATGGTGGTGTTGAAGGGAGAATGAGACAACAAACCCCCAGCAAGGAGACATCGCCCTGAAGCTCACTTTAAATTAGTCCAACCGCTGATGTTTAAAACAGAAGTGGGACTCATTCGGAAGCTACAGGGTTTTTGTCGACGGATTCACTTCGGCCAACTGGAATGCACATTTTGGCTGGACGAATCTCAGCTGCTGGACCCTGTTCTCCAGGCCCCAGGTAGCATTGGTGTTTTATAGGTTTGGTTTCCTTGACACCATCAATGTCCTCACGACTGCACCAAAGCATGGAAGATGCCTTGAGGTGTTTGGACGACTATCATCCGAGGAATGGCCTTTTGTGCGCTTCCATGTCGGTTGAAGGGAAGCAAGAGAACACAATGACAAAATTACACCTCTAACCATACGCAAACAAACAACAAATGAAGAGAGCGGGAAAGAAAGAAAGAAAGAAAGAAAGAAAGAAAGAAAGAAAGAAAGAAAGAAAGAAAGAAAGAAAGAAAGGAAACAAAACAAAAGTCAACAAGTCAGAAAGACAAAAACAAAACAAAACCATACGCACATAACGACAAACACAAGCCAAGGTGGAGAGAAAAACAAAGAAAGAACACACACATACCTTTCCAACGCCTGTCGGCAACTGCTTGGTTATTTTTCGACCTCCGCTACAACAAGCCGAGCCAACACAAGCAATCACAACTAAGACGTACGAATAGCAGTGAAGGAACACAACACAACAAGCAACATCAAAGCTAAGCAAACCAAGGCTCAACACAATATTAACATGGCGCCATCAAGCAAACTCTAAGCACCCACACATAAACAAACACACACACACACACACACACACACACACACACACACACACACACACACACACACACACACACACACACACACACACACACACACACACACACACACACACACACACACACACACACACACACACACACACACACACACAACAAACACACACACACACACACACACACACACACACACACACACACACACACACACACACACACACACACACACACACACACACACACACACA